TAATTCAGGTTCCACCGCACCGAGATGTTCATTTGATGTCACTGTGTTCTGTCTGCCTGCAGAGGCGGGACAACTGGCTGTTGTATTCCCTTGGTAGCTCCAAGACATGGAGACACACAGACATTCGAGCCCCCAGTACAAGCGCCAAGCTGTCGATTTGTTGTTATTCCTCCCAGCGACAGCTGGCTCAGAAGAGCGTTCAGTTTGTTTCAGTTTGTATCGAAGCATAGATTTATGAGAACATTTGAAGGGATGTCTGCTGGATTTATATATATGGTAGCCAGAATTTAGGTTATTTACTGCTCACATGATCTTTTTAATTTATCTGTTAATTGAAGTATTTATTTTGTCGTTATGGGTTTCTTACGATTCTTAAAATAATCAATAGCAAATTTTCTTTTAAACAGTATTAACCAACTCATAGAGAAGTGTTTTCTTAGAGGTACGGATTGAATTATTAAATTGTATTTATATAACGGGTTAAGTTAATAGGGGATATGAACTCTGAAATGACAGGCAACCATTTAAAAAAAGCATTATATACAAAATATCGAGTAAATAACGGAAATGGGGGGGGGGTGAAACTGATGAGAAGCTTACAAATAATTTTATGCTGCTAAAATAAAGAGCGACGTATGTAACAAACAACATCTTCTAGAAATTAATGCAGTATTTTAGTTTTATATCCTTGAAAAAAGACAGTGTACGCGAGACCTAGATACAGATGAAAGGATGATATTAAAACGGGTCCTAAAAGACTAGGGTGGGATCGTATAATCCAGATTAATTTGGCTCAGTAACAGAATCTTGTGAACACGGAAATAAACCTTCGTGTTTCAAAAAATAAAGATTAAACAGCAGTAGACCCTGCTCAATTTATTCGAATATTATTTGAAGTTTGTTTAACAAAAACCCTATTTTAATTAATTTCTGCTTCGTCTGCATATTATGTACGTACTACATCAGTCAGACACAACTTTACTATGAACAGATAGAAATATTTTTAAGGAACGAAATGAAACAGAAATTAAATTCGTCGTGTAAATTCTCACTGCTACCTTCTCCGCCCTGATAACTCCCTTGAGAATGGCGGACCTGAAGGTAACAGTACCCATGGGCATCATGTGGGCAGCATGACCCCGATCATTTGTATCTGCCCCTAAGGGTTTAAGCCTTACTGAAGGGCACGCTGTATGGACGATTTAAGTACACATAAGAACACATTCCCCGACACCTATCAGACGATCTGTGAAACATGTATTAATTCAATTTCTGATGAACATATGCATGTACGGTGTGTGTGTTGTAAGGCGGATCATTCTAAAAACTCATAGAATTTATTTACTAACAAAATACAGAGTAAAATAGCTAATAAACTATTTGAAAATACGTAAGTTTCAATTACATGGGAACGACAATAGCGTGGAAAAATTATATTCACGCAAATTAAATTTGGGAAATAATTTATACCATTCAGTTCTGAATTTTTACCAGATCATCTTCCACCTAGGAACGCAAAATCCGGATGATATCTGCGACTATTGATAGACTATAAGTATCATAAAAACTTCGCCGCAAAATATTTATGTTATATTTACTGGGCTATATTCATTTGGCTTCTGATAAGTACTGGTAAATACTGTGCTGAACATTCGGTGGTCATTTCTTCGCAAGATAAGCAACAGCTGGCTTCTGAAGATGGAGTTATTTAACGAAATTGGTCTCCCTATTACTTCCAGAGACTTGAAGCTCTAACGCCTGACCTTGAGTCCGAGGAGTGGCCAGCAGTACCACGGCAAATAAACCGGCTTTGAAATCCCAGATTAGACTGAATTCTCGATCGCATTTCATTAAAGTACACTGTCGACTTCGACGTGGAGAGTCTCGAGATTAGAATGCATTCAATTTATTTGCAATGATAAACCACATCTGGCTCCTTCTTGTGTCAATCTCCCGTGAATTCCACGGGAGATATGCATATGTAAAACGTCCGAACGGTAGCGCTCTGGAGCAGAGGTGAAGTTTGGAGCAGAGTGTTCTAATTGTCTTCGGATTTTCTGCAACACAGCGCGATGTGAGAAACTGACATCTGTTACAAATTCTAAGACTTCTAACACGTGATTGATCTCACCGGAAGTGCGTATCTCTAAAGATCTCTACACCGGTAATTTAAATTTAAGAAGCAAATTAAGTGGAAATTTCATGGATGCAACTAAAATGATAAAGCTGTTTTTCTATTAAACTGCATTATACAAACACATATGAATAATCTCATAATTTGCTGCATTTGTTAGAGAAAACGTAGTCACATTAAAACATTTATGTGACTGCATAGCCTCTTTTCCAGATATTATTCGTTGCTATAGGCCTCAGGGAATATTTCTATGGCAATGTGTATTTTACTAATTAGATCTTCCCGTCATTCTTAATGGATAAGTTATTAATGTGTTAATAACCAGTAAAAATAATTTTGATACCAAAATAAAGTAAGATTTAAACACATGCTAGGTAAGAAGAAACGTGTTTGTTCACGGATACTTCTTAATGCCAAAATAATATTCTGTACTTGTGTGTTGTGTAGA